AAGATAATATGAAAGTAAATATTTATTTATTAAGGAACATGCAGCCCTTGATGAAAGATTGAGTCTTGTTGATGCCAAATCCGTCCTGTCTTTCTTTGCTGAGAGAATCCCGAGAATAGGCAAAGACATTGTAAAGGACGTCTGTCACTTTGCACTAGCAAGCATTCAACCTAGGATAGTTTCCTTTGAAGAACAAGTACTGAATTTTAATTATTGAACTGGATCTTTACTTTTCTTCTTTCGCCCCCCCCCTCTCTCTTTAAGGTCACCAACATTAGACTAGCACTGAGTAAAATATATGAAGAAGACGGTCAATGGAGTAACAGTGCTGAAGTATTGTGTGGGATCCCACTTGAGAGCGGACAGAAGTGAACCGTGTTATTATTATTATTATTATTGTTATTATTATTATTATTATTATTATTATTATTATTAATTAGAATATACACTGCTGATTTCAAGATGGAGGTATATTTAAAGATTACTCAGCTGTACCTTGAAGATGAAAACCACATCTCGGCTGAGGCCTACCTGAACAGAGCTGGACTGTTACAAGCAGAGGTCAGCAAAGGACAACTTCACATCATCTATAAGGTTATTAATTAGTGGGGGCGGGGTTAAATGAATGCACTTTTGCTAAGGAGAGCTCTGGCAATATGACAATTTATTAGTACCATATCACTTATAGGTTTGCAGTGCCAAGATGGCCGACTTTAGACGCAAGTTTTCAGATGCTGCAAGAAGATACATTCAACTGTCATATGAATCAGCTATACATCCAGATGAAAGAATGACCTCACTAAAACGAGCAATGATATGTACTATACTGTCTAGTGCTGGTAAAGAATGAGAGAGGGTAGAGGGAGAGGGGGGGAGAGAAGGGATGGAGAATTAAGAAGCATTATAGATTAATGATGATACTCTTGCTTCAGGTCAGCAGAGGTCAAAGCAGCTGGCAGCTTTATTTAAAGATGAAAGGTGTCAGCATTTGCCCGCCTTCAACATTTTGAACAAGATGTACCTTGAAAGGATCATCAGGCCATCAGAACTGGAAGACTTTGCTGCTTTGCTTTCTCAGCACCAGAAGGCTACGACTGCTGATGGTAATCCTGACATTTTGTGTTTTAATTTTTTTGATGGAGGCATGTTTAGATTTTAAAATAAAGTAACACAAGGAATTATTAAAAGCTGAAATTAATAGTGTTGTTTTTGTTAACAACAACTAAAACTAAATCCTTTTTAGTAAGTTGTTTTCCTTAACTAAAACTAAAACCAATGTTATTAAAGCAACACTGGAAATTATCCCACTTTCA